AGATTACAGGTGCCCGCCACCAAGCTCAGCTAATTTTTGTAGTTTTAGTACAGGCAGCATTTCACCATGTTGGCCAGGCTGGTTTCAAACTCCTGACTTCAGGTGATCTGCCCATCTCAGCCTCCCAAAGCACTGGGATTACGGGTGTGAGCCACTGCACCTGGCCATTTGTGGTCTTTCATGTAGTTCCAGTCAAATAGTGGCTGGGGCTGGTGTCATATGGAAGGCTACCTCTCTCACATGGCTAATGGTTGATGCTGACTGTTGACTAGAACATCTACATATGGCCTCTTCATGTATGTTGGGTTTCCTTACAGCATGTTGATTGATATAGAAACTTCAAAGAGCAGCTTTTCTGAGAAAGAGGGAGGGAGGGAGGGTGTGCTTATATGCATCAGGGGGAGGTTGTATCACCTTTAATTACCTAGCCTTGGAAGTCACACTGTCATTTCTGCTGCATATTATTCTTTAGAAGTGAGTCACTAAGGCTAACCCATAATCAAGGGGAGAGGAATTTGGATTCCATCTCTTCATGGGAGGAGTGTAAAAAAGTTCACAAACACATATTAAAACTAGCACATGTAGCCTTACATTAGAGAATAGTAAAACTAAATATATAATAAACTTGGATGTAATACGGGAGATATACAAAATGCTTAACAGCTGGTTTGGCATGGGCCCTGAACAAATAGAAGAAATAACAGCATCAACAACTGGTAGGATCTACTGGTGCAGCTGCTTAATATCAGCTCTGGGTATTATCAAGGCTCCAAATGTGCCCTAGAGTCAATAAGAGCCCTGGGAGCTCAGGAATGGTAAGATCATGTGTCTGAAATAAGATGTTTTCGTTATTCTTGTTGAAGCTTCAGAAGCCCCATTAAGTTCTCGTTTCAGAGACTGGTTGTTTGGTTTGCTTTGTCTACCTTTGTCTACCAGCAGTTAGGAACCTTTTCCCTGCATAGCCCTTACCTGAATGTTTTAAAAGTTTGTTATTTTAAAGAGAGGGGAGTTGGGAAGAACAAAAAGAGAAGGGACAAGCTCTAGGAATACACATTGTCTTTTGTATATATTATGATTCAGTCCAATGCTATTTCGAAGCCAAGGCACCCACCTGGATTTTCCCCTTTTGACTTAGAAATGTTGGGTTCTTAGGATAGTGTATTAGTTTCCTATTGCTACTGTAACAAACTCCTAAAACCTTAACAGCTTAAAACAACGCAGATTTATTATCTCACAGTTCTCTAGGTCAAAAGTCTGGGGTAGCTTGGTTGTTTCTTTGCTTTGGATTTCATAAGGCTGAAATTAAGAGTGTCAGCCGGCTGGGCTTTTATGGGGAGGCTCTGGGAAGCATCCCCTTCCAAGGGGATTCAGGTTGTTGGCAGAATCCAGTTCTTTCTGGTTGTAGGGGTAAGGTCTTTACTTCCTTGCTGGCTATTGCCTGGAAGCTACTCTTTGTTCTCAGAAGGCTTTATCCAGTCCTCATACATTGCCCCTACATCTTAGAGCCAGCAGAGTGCCAAATCCTTCTCACCCCGGACTATCCCTGCCTTCCTGCTCTGCAGTGGCTCCTCCGACTTCCTCCTCTGTTGCATCTCTCTGATTCCAGCCAAACAAGGTTGTCTGCTTTAAGGGCTTGTGATTGGATTTAGCCTACCTGAATAATCCAGGATAATCTCTCTATTTTACAGTCCTTAAGCTTAATTACGCCTGTAAAGTCCTTCTTACTATGTGATGTAACATGTTCATAGGATCCAGGGATTAGGACTTGGCCATAACTTTACCTACTACAGGTAGCCAAGTTAGGTCAATAGAGGTGCTTTCCCATTTACTGTTTCCTCAGGAAAGTAGGCCAACCAGCAAGTTTATGTTAAACACTAGGGCTTCATTGAAATACCCTAAATTTGAAGGAAAAGAATATGCATTTTATGGAAATATGTCTAGGTTTCGGTTTTTAAAAGAGAGGAGGCACTCTTTCTTGATTTCCAGTAATATCTACAGCATAATATAATGCTTAGGAGAACTGATTTGAAGTCAGACAGACCAGGCCTTGTACAAGTACATAATGCTCCTAAGTCTCATTATCCTCATCTGTGAAATGGGCTAATAATTCCTATGTTGCCGTGGGGAAAAACTGATGAATAGAAGGTGCTTAGGACATAGTAAGTGCTCAGTGAATGTTAGCTAATAATAAGGACAATGAAAACAGAATGACATATTCTTAGACTTCTTTGTAGTTGGGGAGAAGGTATGAGTTTATCAACTAGTGTCAACAATTGGATTTCGCATTAGTTTCATATTAACCTGACATAAATTAATTTGTTAGTCTGACATAATTATTTTATTAGAGATAAATGAGTAAAACAATTGTTCTAGAAAGGGATTTATACACACATTTTTTTCTTTCTTTCCTTTTTTATTTTTTTAGAGACTCGAACTTCTGGGCTCAGGCAGTCCTCCTGCCTCAGCCTCCCAAGTAGCTGGAACTATATTTGCATACCACTGCTGGGCTTATGAGTTTATTTTTAGCAGTTTAGCTTAAGATGAATTGCTTGGTTTTAATCATAATAAGCAGTCACTGAAACTTACAACCATCTAAGTCAGGGGTTGGCCACTATGCCTGTGGGCTAAATCTCACCTGCTGCCTGTTTTTGTATGGCCCGTGAGCTAAGAATAATTTTTAGAGATAAATGTTTGCAGTTGGTTTGATGATGGGGAAGCCCTAACTTCATTTGGTTGTTTGTTTTTGCTTTTGTTTTTTAATTAAAATAATTTTTGTTGGTGTGTAGTAGTTGTAAATATTTATGGGGTACATGAGATATTTTGATACAGGCCTGCAATGCATAATCACATCATGGAAAATGGGAGTGTCTATCCCCTCAAGCATTTATCCTTTGTGTTACAAACATCCACTTATATTATTTTCGTTATTTTAAAAGGTAGAGTTATTATTGACTATAGTCACCCTGTTGTGCTATCAAATACTAGATCTTATTCATTCTTTCTAACTATATATTTTTTGTACCCATTACCCATCCCCACTTCTCCCCGATTCCCCTACCGCCCTTCCCAGCCTCTGGTAACCATGCTTCTACTCTCTATCTCCATGATTTCAATTGTTTTGGTTTTTAGATCCCACAAATACGTGAGAACATGCAATGTTTGTCTTTCTGTGCCTGGCTTATTTCACTTAACATAATGACCTCCAGTTCCATCCATGTGTTGCAAATGACACGCTCTCATTCTTTTTTCTGGCTGAATAGTACTCCATTGTGTATATGTACCATATTTTCTTTATCCATTCACCTGTTGGTGGACACTTAGGTTGCTTCCAAATCTTGGCTATTGCAAACGGTGCTGCAACAAACATGGGAGTGCAGATATCTCATCAGTTATTTTCTTTCTTTGGGTATGTACCCAGCAGTGGGGCTGCTGGATCATATAGTAGCTCCATTTTTAGTTTTTTGAGGAACCTGCAAGTTGGATAAGCATAACTTAGAACCCCAATGAAGCAAAATGTCATCTCACCCCAAAATAATTCCATTATTTTCATTAATAGGCCTGTAGTAGAAATAATTGTACTCAGCTGGGCATGGTGGCTCACGCCTATAATTCCAGCACTTTGGGAGGCTGAAGTGGGCGGATCACTTGAGGTCCGGAATTTGAGAGCAGCCTGGCCAACATGCCGAAACCCTGTCTCTGAAAGAAAAAAAAAAAAGAAATAATTGTACTTGATTATATTATTATTTTTTGAATTTCATCAATAAAATTTGTGGACAATTTGCTCTTAAGTACCTACGTAATATCTTTGATTTTGCCTCTTTGCCTGTAAAGCCTAAAATATTTATGATCTCACCCTTTACAGAAAAAAATTTGCTGACTGCTGATCCAAGTAACCTATTGTGCATTTAAGATTTGGGTGTAGACTCCTCTTAGATAGAAGAGATCCTTAAGATGTCCTAATGCAATGCCTTAATTTTATAGCTAAAACTAAAGCCCAGGAAGGTAGGTGACTCTTCCCGCACAATTCAGCTAGTTAGTGATAGAGGCAGTACACTTTCCACTGGAGCAGGCAGACCCTCTGGGTAGCGTAGTTGGACTTTATTCATCTTTCTTTAAATGAACCTCTGTGCTGTCACCAATCCAGAACTTTTTAAAGGACAGGCCAGAGGTGATGCAGCATAGAAACACAGTTGTCCATTCAACCCATTGAATAGGGCCTGGCAAGTATATACTTGCTGTGTTTCCATTTCAGGGAGTGCCCTTTAGATTCTAGAATTTCTCATTAAAACTTTTTCCATCAGTGACAGACTGGATTAAGAAAATGTGGCACAAATACACCATGGAATACTATGCAGCCATAAAAAAGGATGAGTTTGTGTGCTTTGTAGGGACATGGATGCAGCTGGAAACCATCATTCTTAGCAAACTATCGCAAGAACAGAAAACCAAACACCGCATGTTCTCACTCATAGGTGGGAACTGAACAATGAGATCACTTGGACTCAGGAAGGGGAACATCACACACCGGGGCCTATCATGGGGAGGGGGGAGGGGGGAAGGATTGCATTGGGAGTTATACCTGATGTAAATGATGAGTTGATGGGTGCTGACGAGTTGATGGGTGCAGCACACCAACATGGCACAAGTATACATATGTAACAAACCTGCACGTTATGCACATGTACCCTAGAACTTATAATAATAAAAAAAAAACTTTTTCAAAAGCACTGGTATGCTGACTTTTTTATTCTGTTAAGTTAGTAACAATAAATAAGTGTGCTTGTTAATATATTCTCATTGAGCCGTGTTCAATTTAGGATGAGATTGTTCATTGAGCAGTACGGTCACCCTAAACTGAGGGAATAATTTCCCCTCATGTCCAACATCCCCATTGTTCCGTGGTTATCTGCTAATAAACCCAGCCATGCTGTGTTTGTCTTTGCTTCCCTCCTGCCTGTATAATGATGATTACTCTCTGGCATTTGTTTCTTTTTCTACAGGTGGTTTACAAATCCAACGACCGTCAATGCCTTCTACAGTGCATCCACCAACCAGATCCGTAAGTACTGGTTCCTTGTCTCCTTGGTAATCTGGTATAAAATGGAAGGAACTTTTCCATGACTATGATGGAGGGTAAGGCATTCCTTATTTCCCCCAAAAGTGGCAGGGTATGCTGGTGAAGGAAGGTTGTTTTCCTACCCATATGCCAAATTTTCCTCACTCTCTTCACCTTACTAGTTTTTTTTTTTTTTTTAAAGCTTTATGTCACCATTGATTGAAAAAAAAATCAACTACAGTAAACCAAATTAAACCATAATGAAGTTTGCCATGAAAAGGAGCAAGTTTCCACTTTCCTCTCGTAATGGCCTTACTGATTTTGTCCATACCATTTTGTTCGTTCCTAGGATTGGTGGGGAAAACAGCAGGTAACTGAGCAGATTGTAGAACCTGAGAGGACCATCTGTATGTAAGAAAGAAGCTTGGAAATATTGTTATTAATGCTAGGAAGTTATGTCTTGAGGTTTTCTACTTACATGTATCAGGTATATGTAATTAAAAATACCATGATAAATTTTAAAAATTATTATTTTTATTATTTTTTCAAGACAGAGTCTCCCTCTGTCACCTAGGCTGGAGTTCAGTGGTGTGATCTTGGCTCACTGCAACCTCTGCCTCCCGGGTTCAAGTGATTCTTATGCCTCAGCCTCCTGAGTAGCTGGGAGTACAGGTGTGCACCACCATGCTCAGCTAAATTTTTTTTATTTGTATTTTTAGTAGAGATGGGGTTTTGCCATGTTTGCTAGGCTAGTCTCAAACTCCTGGCCTCAAGTGATCTGTCCACCTTGGCCTTCCAAAGTGTTGGGATTAGAGGCGTGAGCCACTGCACCTGGCCTTAAAACATTATTAAGATCTGTTTGGCACAAATAAAAAGTCTGACAGCATCCAGCCTTGGCAATAAGGACACACACTCATTGCTGGTGGCAAGATAGATTGGCTCATCCACTTTGCAGGGCAATTTGACAATATCTCAAAAAGCTGCAGATGTCCATGCATACCTGTGACCATGACCTGTGCTCCTGGAATGTGCTCTAGTGCTGTGATTCTTGAAATGTGGTCCTCGGACCTGCAGTAATAGCATCATGGGGGATCTTGTTAGAAATGCAAATTCCCAGGCCCCACCTTCGATCTGTTGATCAAACTTTGGATGTGGAGCTCAGAAATCTGGTGCCATAAAACCTGCAAGTGATTGTAATATATGCTAAAGTTTGGGAACAGCTACCCTAGAGAACTCCTGCACAAGGCATAAAGAAGCCCAAGCGAAAATGCTCATAACAGTATTTATAATACTAGAAAAAGCAAAATAACCTACGTATTCCTCTGCAGGAAGGTGAGTCAAATGTGGCATATTCACACAAAGGAATACCATAAAGCAGTGAAAAATGAGCAATATATATTAACATGGATGAATTTCACAAGTATTAGGTTGTGCAGAAAAATACAACTTGGGAAAATATATCAAGTATATGATACAAATAAAGTTGAAATTCATGCAGAACAATTCTACACATTGTTTGGCGGTCCATCCATTTGCAGTGTAAGTGTAAAGACATTCATGAGAATGACAAACATGAAATTCTGGTTGGTGGTGGCTTGTCTTGGGGAAGGTGGGCAACTCCTGCTGAAATCCTTGCTGGTTTCTCCTCATCTCCTATATCTCTTAATGATGGCATGCCCCAAGGCTCAGTCCTTGCACCTTTTCTGTTCTCTTTTCTCCATCTTTGCTCACTTGCTTGGTGATAACATCTAATCTCATGGTTTTAATCACATTTCTATGGTGTTGAATGCAGGGGATGGAATTTACCACCCTTGTTCATACCGCTACTATCTCCCACCTGGATTATGGGAATAGATTCTTCATTGGCTTCCCTGCTTTGTTCTTACCCCCCTTCAGTCTATTCTAAATATAATATTGTAGCAATTTTAAGACTTTTTACAATCATATCATGTCGGTTCTTTGCTCAAAAGCTTTTATCAACATCCCATCTCACTCAGAGAAAGAACCAAATTATTTCTAATGGCCTTAAGGTCTGTTATCTTTCTGCCCGTAACTCCTGCCACTCTCCCTCTTCCTCCCTCCTTCTGTTCCAGCCACACTGGCCTCCTTCGTGTTTGTAGAGCACATCTGACACGCTCTGCTCTGGGGATATTTATACCGGGGGTTCGCTTTCTCTTGGAAAACTTCCCCAAGTGACCTGCCTAGTTTATGCTCCCATTGCCTTCAAATCGTTATTCAAAGGCCAGGCCACCTTCTCAGGGAGGCATCCTGCCTTCCCTCTGGCCAGTCAGCCAGTCTGCCGTGGGTCCTCCATACTGGCCGTTGTTCCTACAGGACTCTGGTCAGAGGGGACAGCCCGAAGGCTGTGGCTGCCCACTACTAGCTGGCACATCTTCTTAGAGCCGCCATCGTGTGGCCACTGTTAGGAATAGCAGTCTCTGCCCGACTTGGGTCTGAGAGAGAGAAATGAACAGAAAGAAGACAGACAAGCAGATGGCGGGATTTTTTTATTTATACATTAATTTACATAACCAAGTAAGTTGTTAAATATTTTGAATGTCACTTCTTACTATATAAATATTCATTATCACTAAGCTACCATTGCTTTCTTAAGGTCCTAAATGCCAACTTGAGAACTAAATTGCATATGTTATATGGGAACTTATGATATTTGAGTTATTAATTATAACTAATACTTATAATAATTTAACATATTATTAATTATAATCGCATTTACAATATTCTCTTGGGAAATAGAAATCGTTTAGATTATTCACTTAAAAACGTTTCATTGTCTAATATTTGGTACATGTGAAAGAACATATGTAGCATTTTGGCACATATAAGTTATAAAGAATATATGAAAACATGACAAAATTAATATGTGCCTATGACGCCCTCACCCAATCAGGAACCATCCCTCCCACTAACCACAGAGGTAACAGTCTTCTCATTTGAGGGTTTATCATTTTTTTTGTTGTTTTTTAAAATAAAACTTTAATTATATAGGTATCCCTAAACAATATGTAGTTTATTTTTACTTGTTTCTTAGTATAGCAAAAATGGTATCTTACTGTATGCAATCTTAAACAACTGTGTTTTTTCAGTCAATATGTTTTTAGGATTTGTCCGTGTGGCATGCGATGGTAGGCTGTTTTCATGTTCACTGCTGTATAATATTTCATGACTGTACCCCCAAATTGTTTATTCTATTGTCCAGCCTATGTGTCCCCACACCCAGGTTTTTGCTTATGAACAGTGCTGCTCTGCATATTCTTGTGACTGTCTCTTGAAACAAGTGTCTGAGTGTATACACCCAGGAATGGAATTATTGGCTGATAGGAAGAAGTTATCTACCAGATAACATTAAATGTTTTCCAGAGCTGGTGTTCCAAAATACAGAAGTGTTTCTGTTGTTCCTCATTTTCATCAACTCTTGGCATTGGTAGACTTAATTTTCACCAGTCTAGCGAGTGTAAGAGATCAGCTCTTATGCAAGAAAAGCCAGTGTTTCCGCATCCACTTTAAAATGTCACTGAAGGCTTACTACTCCTTAGGGTACTTAAGTGTGTCTAATAATAGTTCCATCTCCAGGGTTCGCCCCTGCTCAGCCTTTTTCTTGCCTGCGAAGGGCTAATCCTATCAGAGGTTTACTGAGGAAGAAGCCATTTCAGGGTAAACCAATGGTTTCATGAAAGCTCATGGGCAGAGGGGTTTTCAACATGAACAATTTGAAACAGTATTTTAATTAAGAGATTCAAGCTGTTTCTGTTTTCCTAATGACCAGTGCTTGCTCTCATTGTAAATTATATTCTCAGGCAAGATGACAAGGAATCCTTTGGGGGAGTTTTATTTTCCCCTCTCTCCTTTCTGATTTTCCGGACTACAAATTAAGACAGGTGGAGTTTCTTCTTACACATTTCCCCACTGGGTTTCCTGGGACTTCCCCCACCCTACAACTGCCTTCTTTTTGCTTCACTGAAGAAGTGAAAAATTGAGGTGATTCTCTAAAATGAACATCTTTATTGATTAGGGGCTGATTCTGACAGCATGTGGCCATCTGTTTAATTGGGTTTTACATCTAAGATGTAACTATACTTAGTAACGTGATTTATGACAATTTCATTCAGTTCCCATTATCACTTTCTGATTTATGCCACTTAAATCTGCTTCTGCATGCAATACAGACTTGAGTAGAAAATAGAAAAACCTGTAGTTTTTTGTTTTGTTTTTTTTTTCAAATCCATGCCTTTGTGTGGAACCCTGTGATTTGTGGCCATCTTTCAATGTTAGATTTTTACAGGGTGGTTACAACTTCTTATTTTTCTTCCCTTGTCAAGCTGGGTAGCAACATCTCTAGACATGGAGCATAGTGTGAAATTATAATGATTTAAATCTGCTGTACGAGGAGTTATACTCAGTAGCTGTCATCAAATTTAATTATATTTGAATAAGGTGGTTAAAGAGGAAAACAAAGATCTGAGATGATTGGTGCTTAACCCTAACTTTGTGATAACTGTGACACTGATCTCGCTGCTTTTCAGAGGGGCAAGGTAAGAACATCAATCGGAGATCTAGTTTGTATGGCCTTAGTCAAAGTTTTTATCCTTCCAGACCCCTATCGTCCTGTCTGCCACATGTTGAGGCTATCTAGCCCATAGAGTTTAGGGGAGGATTTAATGAGATGAATTTGTAAAGTGCCAGCACATTGCCAAGCTCAGGGCTTGTATATCTAAACCTGGCATGCCAGGAATCCCTGCGATAACAATTGTGTCACAGGACAAACAGCAAAATATAAAGATTGGCAGGGGGGATTATTTCAAACTTTTGCCCTCAAGAGATCTTAGGCCGGGCATGGTGGCTCACGCCTGTAATCTCAACACTTTGGGAGGCTGACACAGGTGGATCACCTGAGGTTGGGGGTTTGAGACCAGCCTGGCCAACATGATGAAACCTCATCTCTATTAAAATATAAAAATTAGCCAGGCTCGGGAGGCTGAGGC